GGCTTATATAATGTCATTAAGTGTACCTATCGTATTTAGTTTGAATAAATCAGTAATGTACCATTTTAATGAGCAATGCTGCAGATAAAGCATGTTTTTATTGTGTTTACCCCCTGTGACAGTTTAGATTTAGATATTTTATGCAGGTCCTGGTACTGTGCTGCTCTTCTTGAGGGAGGGCCTAATGGTTATTTCCCGCTTTGGATTGGTTCAGCGGACTGATTCTGCCCTCGCCATTGGATACTTTCAAACTAACGAACAAATCAAAAAACAGAAATGCGTCTTGGATGTAACGAGTAACGAAACGCTGTATAGAAATGTAGTGAAGTAGAAAGTACAGATACTTACTGTTAAATGTAGTGGAGTAAAAGTAGAAAGTATCCATTATTAAATCTACTTAAGTAAAGTACAGGTACACAGAAATTGTACTTAAGTACAGTAGCGAAGTACTTGTACTTGGTTACTTCCCACCACTGCAGAGTTGTGATCAGGACGTGTTTGATGAAGCCAAAAATACCGACGTTAGGTTCTATACCCCGTCTGTAAAACCTAAAGTGGCTAAGTGATGCACCTAAGAGGGTTTTCACCATCATGCATCCAGCATGAGCATTTCAAACACGAGCAAACGGGTACTTCTTTCTATGTTACAGTCAGGGTTGCGTTTTTATTTTGTTGAGACACTAAAGCAGCTCTGATCACACAGGTCTGGAAAACATGTTTTACTTCCCCTGTCTCTGGGACGGCCCTTTCCAAAACACAGAAGGATTCCCTCACAGCACTTCAGAGCATTCTTTAGACGAGCATTCCTCGGGAAAAGGAAAAAAAATCCCTTTTGAAAAGGTTTGGAAGCGGGCGCTCGTCAGTGAGCTGGAGCTTCCCGTTCAGGATTCCCCCCCGCGCCGAGTCTGTGGGGTTTCCTCTCATCAGTGTCTGTGAGTCAGTAACAGAACCTCTGCTGTCAGCTCAAGCCCTCGCACGCCAAATCCTGTCCGCATGTAGGAGTTTAACCACTGTATTTATCCAAAAACCGCTGGACCGAATTTAGCCGTTGCTCAGTTAAACCATGCTCTGTTCATTTAAGCCTCAGTAGCTGGGAAAAGCCAAAAAATTACCCCCCCAACCCTCTTCAATCGAGTCAAGGGAAGCAAATAGGACTTCAGGAATACACAACTATAACAATCAGAATAGCATAAGCTTGTCTTTCTTTCTTCATTTAACCAGATCCATTCTTGTTCTTCATAGAGTAAAAAGTCACTGTAGTATTTCTCTTATACAGAAAAAGCTAAAGGTTGGACCTTTCTGAACCACTTTGATTTACTCTGTGGAGCACAGTGGGGGTGTTTAGTGGGCCTGGCCTGAGCAGGGGTCAGAGTAGGAGGAGGAATGGTAGAAGTGGCCAATATAGCCACAGAGCCATTTTGAAACTGAGGAATACCGACTTCCCTGATGCTATAAGTGTGTCCCCAGAGGGATTAACGTCCAGTTTTCTTGTGAAAGTGGGTAATGAAGTCAACCCAAGTGGTCCAGTCCCTCCACCCAGAGTCCAGGACCACCAGCACCGGACCCCCTTTGTGGAGGCCTAAAAGAAGACGGTCCCCTAGTGCGGAGAACCCATTTACGAGCATCAGGAAGAGGGTGATTGCTGTTATTTGTCCATCTCTGTGCTATTCTGTAAGAAGTGGAGTGGGTCAGCCATTTCTGCTATGTGAGGAATGAGTCAGATGGTGTTTTTTCCCCTTCTTGTCTTGTGTTTTTTCAAAGCAAACAGCATAACTAAAGCTAATCCTGCCATCTGTGAACACATCTATTGGGAACAACAGGGCCAATGAGCGTTTTGGAATTTACATACATTTCAGCACCTCTTTCCTCCAGCGGCTCATTTCTGATCAGGCTTTTGACTCCATTCCAACCACCAGTTTCCTCTTTAAGCCAGCGGGGATGATGAGACCGTTGTTTCATTGATTCGTGAAAAGCCTTTCAAACCTTTGGATAGTCTGTGTGTAGTTTGTGTCATTATCTGTTTGGCTCTCCTTCTAAAACCACACAGAACCGGCTCTTTCTGTTTCTGCGTGCAGCTGCTGGCACCCGAGAGGAAATCCCCCCTCTGCAGCGCAGTGCCACGCGTGTGTGTGTGTGTGTGTGTGTGTGTGCAGCCCGCCGAGTGTGGAGCGGGGATCAGACGGCCTCAGCCCACGCTGCACAGGTAAAGAGCAGGTAAAAAGAAGGTCATAAAAATGAAGAAAAGGCGGTTAAAAAAGGAAAATAATTAAATTAGAGACAGGAGATTGGTTCCTTGGCTGACCACCCCCAGCAGCCACGCGCACGGCGAGGACACACACGGCGGGGGCGTGAGAAACCACGTACAGTCAGAAGGAAAGAGGAAGTCGGTTTGAGGGGTGACGAGGCTGAAAAAACAGAACCGCTCTGAGAAAACGAGCCGTTTCGCTTTTACCTCTGGCGGACAGCTTCTTGGTGTTGATGATTTTGGCCGCATACTCCTGTCCCGAGGAGATCTTCATGCACCTCCTGACCACGGAGAAAGCCCCCCTGCAGGAAAACAAGGTGGCAGATTAGCGAACGCCCTCGTGAGTGTGTTTGGCAGGTGTGTGCACATCTGGCTGGAGCCACACAGCTCTACAGCCCTCACTCAGAGCCAAAAACACCTCCAGGGGTTAGAGGATGCTCCACTGGCTCCTCCCCCTCATTTCAACCCCTGCAGCAGTCTGTTTGGCTGCATTTCTAACTCTGCAGAGGTCGGCCTACTGTGTAAAAGTCAGAACTTTGTTGTGTGGACATAGTCTAAGACTGGGTGGCACAAACCTTGAAATAAACAGGGTGATAAATATGAGTTTTCACTTGATTTTGAGTTGAGATACAGGATGCGAAGTAGTAAAAATCAGTTGAAATTAGCTTCTGGGAGCCTCTGTAGGACTGGAGTCATTTATGTCCATAAAAAACAGCAGGTCTGATGAATAATGTAAACAGAAACCACCACAAAATACAACCATTCCTGGTTTGGCATATCAGAAAGACACACACTGTTTAACAGAGGTAGAAAACATGTTCTTCCTGAAACAGTGAGCTTCTTGTGCTTTAAAAACATAATCTAAAGCTCAAGTTTAATTTGAAATAGGAGAAATTCCTTGTGATTTGAGTAAAGTCTCATCTAATCTTTTGCTTCAGTGTCAAAGCGGGCTGATTCTTTAGGCACATAAGCTCAGTTTAGAGGGTCTGCTAAGATGAGCGTCCACAATAAGAGTGTTTTCTGCTGTTCTGTCCGTGTGACGCAACGCTGAGCAGACAAAGGCGTGGGCTGTCCCTCCACCAGCAGGTGCAGCCCGCCAACCAGGAAAGAGAGGAACTGCCAGTCAAACCCGGGAGGGCCAGCATTTCGAGACAACAGCCAGAGAAACGCACTAAACGCACTAAATCTGCGTTCTCTACTGTTCCTCTGAGGCTAGCCGGGTCAGGACGCCCCAGGAAAGGTGGCCAGGACTCCGTAAATGCTCAGTGGAACATGGTGGAGACAGAAGGGACAGGTCTCTCACATTCTCCCTGCAGCCTGAGAGTCCTGCCTCCAACCCGGTGGAGCAAAGTTATGAGGAAAAGACAGAAAATCTGTTTTTTGGTGAGCGAGGCCTCTCCCTAAAGAAACCTGAAGCCAGGTGTTGCATTGCTTCAGGCGTTCTGTGTTTGGAGAACATGAGAGCCTTCACCTCCACCCCACCCCCCCCAACACAAGCTGCTTGGAATCCCTGTTTCTGCCACATATTTCACTCATTGCCCTAAACTCTTCGTTGCCTTTTGCGCAAACTGCGCCTTTTACGCGCCAGTAAACCGGTGGTGGGACAGAGAGAGAGCAGTGAGCTCCTCTGGAAGGGGCAGAGGAAGGTTTCCATTGGCTGCTGGGGGGGGGGGGAAACCCCACCGGCTGCAGCCCAAACCTCTCATCAGGTTAAGCACGCTCTGCAATGGCGTCAACCAATTTACTTTGCGCGTTTTTTAAATATTTTCTTAAGGATTAAGCACAGGTTTAACCTGTGGTTATTTAAAAAAAGGACAGCCGGGTTCCAAATCCCAGCCTAAGGGCGGTTTACGCAATTTAGAAAGTTCAGCAGTTGGAGGAATAAGGCAGAACCGGCGGAAGGAAGGGTTAGGGTTAGGGTTAGGGTTAGGGTTAGACCAGCACGGTGCGTAAAGAACCTGAGGCACCAGGACGCACCCGGTGGGGTGGACCCAGGTGGCCCAGGTCCCTCTGATTACCCCCTAAAAATCTGCCCGCAATTAGCGCCTGGCGCGCGCGCGCACGGCCACAGGTGCGGGGACTTACTTGCCCAGCTCCTCGTAGAGCTGGTACTCGTCGGTGAACCTGGTGCAGGTGGGCGCGGCCATGTTGAGGTGCGCCGGGGAACCGAAAGCTCACGCGCTCTAATACGCTCCTGTCCCGGCTCCGCGTGCCAAAGGGCCACCTGCCGTGCTCCGGAGGGCCAAAAAATAATAAAAGAAGAGAAGCGGGCCAAAGTGAGGGTCGGTTCGGACCGGATCCGGTCTGCGGGGCCCCGGTGCGCCTGGACTTCTGGAGGACGTCGCGACTCGCTGTTGCGCTCCTGGTCTCAGCTGTCATCTGCAGGGTTCGAAAAGCTGTCAAGAGACGGAGAACAGGCGGCGTAGCACTTCCGGTTAGGGACATTTCAGAATAAAAGCCCGGAAAGGCGCTCGCAAACAGAAGACTGTTAGTTAGAGTAAGAAATCCCCTCTGAGGTCTACAGACCCTTTGTATTAATTAGAATCCTGTGGAAAAGTTGTTCAAATTTCCATAATTCTTTAAAAAAAAAGTGAACTGTCATGGATTACAGATTCAGGGCCCACAATTCAAACGATTTCAATTAAGTAAATTTGTTTATTGTTACATAATTTGGGTCTTTGAGCTAATAAAACCCACAAATTCAGGAATTCAATAAACGTTTTCCAAACGTATTTAAAAGAGTAACCTGATATGGTGAAAAGCTTTGGCTGACCGGCTGGTTTTCTTTTCTTCTCATACTTTCTCAAGCCATCTCTTGAATTGGAAAAGTCTCGAGTAATACTATCACCCCTAAATACCACCACATTGTGCTTCACTATGTTATTACCATTATTGCCATTGTCAGTTGTACATTTTGTTTCACCAACCCATTGTTCATGTTAGCTGTTACCGTGACAACCAGGTCTGACTTGGCCGGACTCCACAGCAGCTAATTGGCCTTAATAAGAAACGAAGGTTCTTAACAGATGAGCAGAAGTTCCTACAAGTCGTTCTGTGGGGTTTTTATGGCCATTTTAAATAAAAAAACAGTCCTAAAGATCCCTCTTCAGTAAAATTAAAGTCCCAGACATGCTGCCACCTTAGACTGACAAGTTATTGTGTATTTAACTGTGAACACCCTGAAAACAAACGTTTGATCTCAGCTCGCAGTAATCTTTTTGAGTTTTTGAGTCTTTTTGAGTCTTGTTGCATTTAGGAAATGAGACGGCTCAATCAATCTCTGCACCTCAATCCTAAATGTTTTTTAAATCAATACAACGTAAGGACAAAGGACAAGGCTTATGTTTACTGAAGTTGATCCTCGAATGTCTGCTTTTTAGTAAATGGAAAATGATGAACAGAAATAAGCTTGAAATACCCCAAACCTGTTGCCATGGACTGGATCGTCATTTTCATAAAGTCATATCACAGGTTTTTGGTTTGTTGGATAATTTGAACTTTTAGGGACTCAGACTGATGATCAGATTAAGCATTGATAGAAGAAGAAATCAAACTTCACTGAAGGTATATTATTAAGGTTTGATGAAGGTTTCATCATGTATTTTGTCATTTTAACTAGGGATACTGGTATCACATTTATTTGGAAACAGGTGGAAATGTTCTGATCCTTTTTAGGGATCCTGACACCATCTCCACCCATTTCACAACTGGCTCTCAGCCGAAGACATCCCTCACAGTAGGTCAGTCATTAGTGGGAGGCTACAGGCTGATCGAACATAATTAGGCCAGGGTATTTCTAAAACCGCTAACGTCTCTGAGCATACATAAAATCATTCAATTACACTATTTGGAAGCCTCATGTGAACCTGACGCAGAACCCCAGCAGAAAAAGCCACAGAGGCCTCATCGGGTTCACCTTGCAGACCTGCTGTTAAATGGATCTCCATTAATCCACTTTTAGCCTGTAATCTGAACTAATCTACTCTTGGGGAAGTGGTGTTGCGAAACAAACCACTGGCTGCTTCCTGTGGTTCACCTTTATGGACTTTGCGTGTGGGCTGACCATTATCATCATCATCATCATCATCACCACTTAGATAATGTCTGCTGGGTGGTTTTAGGGTGGTTGCCTCCTGCCATTGGCTGCTGTTTGCTGATGCATTTTAGTACGGGGATTCCTCCCTGTGGGGGGGGCAGCTCCAGGTTTCCAGGACCCCTGTCCTGCAGCCTTCCCCCAGCTTCAACACACCTGAGTCAGATCAGCACACCACCAGCAGCCCTACGCAGGGCTTAACCCCAGAGCAGATCCATTTAATCTGAGTCATGTGTGCTGCAGGGAGCAGGAAGACCTCTAAAACCCGCTGGACGCTGGCCTTTGAATCCCAGAGTTGCCAGCCACTGCCGTAAAGGAGAGAAAATCTCCAGGCTGTCCGCATCTATCAGCACCAATCGCCATGACGATGTGTTATGTGGAGATTGAATTTGACAAGAAACCAAAGCCGAGTCCTGCTACCCTCTAGTGGTAAGAGGGTATCATAGACTCTTTTGTCTGAAGTATTTCTTTTAAATGGTATTCTCAATGTGGGCCTCATTTCTGGATTTTCTGAAAATGAGTTTTGAGACTGATATTTAGTCTTTGACATACAATTTTTGTTATTGACGAACAAGGAAAATGGGCCTTTTTGTGAGGATCCATCCAGTTTCCAAGAGAGACAGAAAGAAGACAGGTTTAATTCAACCAATATGTCAAAAAGAAAGGATAAAGTGATGGGTTGTAAGGGATGAACTTTGGGAGGAAAAAACAGATGATGTAATGGACATTTATGTTCTCAGACTGGGCCTTCCCCAGTGTCATTCAGTCAATATTCATTCTCAAATGATGATGTCATCATTGGTAATTATTTAATAAAAAGTGTCGGACACATAATAAAAGATGACTGCATTTATCTGGAATGAAAACTCCGGTTTGAATAGCGTTATGTATATTGAATTAGGAGAATGTTGTGGTTTTTCTAAGACATGAGCTGTAGCTATTGAAGGTTTGACTTGTGGTTTGCTCTACAGATAATGCTAACCAGCATTAGTTATGCTGTTTCACAACATCCACAGACGCCAGGACTGTCAAAGACTAAAGAGGAACTTAGAAAAAAGAAAAGGCACTGACTAAGTCATTCCCATCTGCCTGAGCTGCATTCTGAAAAAAGCAAAACCAGAAAGAGCCAAAGAAATGTGCTGTCAGTCAAAGAGAGCATCACAGAGACAGATGTACACACTTAAAAAATAGTTCCCCCTGTAATATGACAGTTATGGATACCAGAACATGTGAAACTAATCTGTTTTAACAATTTTAAAAATGCCAAATGAGCAGCAGCACTGGAACATCAAACAGAATCACCATTAACAGGCTGTTAAACTTTACTGTTTTTGTGTCTCTTTCTAAAATTTGGCCATTTCGAGGGCCAGGACAAAAAAAAAAAACTCAGGGTTGCTATTTCCTCAAAGCGCAAAAACCCCTTCAAACCCCCTAAAATGATGTGGCTGTAACCCAATAGTCCAGTTTCAGCTTTAAATTCCACTGGACATGAAGTGATATACCAGCATTTGTTCACAGTTATAATAAGTTGTTTATGAGTTCGCTGAAATGGGATTCCAATTCAGAATACATACACAATGATCAGGGGTGTGCCCCCCTATCCTACATGTATGGTGTGAGAAACCTTCTATTCATTTCCTTATTCTAAGAACCCATCGGTTCTTAAGTGAGAGGCAGGTACATTGTGGACAGGTCACAGGTCCATCACAGACCCACACAGAGGCAGATCAGATACACAACCCTGCACACTCACTATAGGCTTAATTTACAGTAATCAACCAACCCAGCATGCATGTCTTTGAATGGATGGAGAAAGAACCACTAATACAGCCGGTATTCATGTCAGGAACTCTTTTATAGGGAACAACTCCACACCTCCATGCTGCCCCACAGTCCTCCTGGAAAACCTGCACCTGGTGTGTGTTGCTTTAGTTTGCAGACAGGAAGAGGGCGCTGTTATTCCAGCTATAGGGGAGCAGGCTGGTGGGAATGATGGTGTTTCTCTTTATGCTTCTATAGGAGGGTCAGATGAATGACATGGACTGAAGGGATGGTTTTGAATCATATAATTTGAGTACCGCCATCCTGCACATTTTTAATAATTGTTGTGACTGGTGTATGTGAAGTACTGAGCCTAACCTTTCTCTGTCCCAGAGATGACTCACACTACAGGCCAGCAGCCAGTGGTGGAGAAAGTACTCATACAATGTACTTAAGTAAAAGTACAAATACACAGACAAAAATATACTCAAGTAAAAGTCAAAGTACCACATTATTATTTTACTTAAGTAAAAGTAAGAAAGTACAAACTACTTAAGTATTAAAAGTAAAAGTACTTGCCAACCATAATACCTAAGGGCTTATATAATGTCATTAAGTGTACCTATCGTATTTAGTTTGAATA